CAGAATCATGTTTCCATGGGCTGCCCCCCCCCCCCCCCCCCCCCCAGCAGAATAAAGAGCTGCTAATGGAATTACGGTCAATCACTTCAGTACACACTTTATCATACAACACACACAACATGACTGTGCATATGCATGTGAGAGGACAGACACATAGAGAGACATGTGGTCAGACAGACAGATTAGTGAGCTCAGTATTATTAAACTTTTACTCTCCTCTAATCCTCACACACTCACTCATGCAGCGTGCACACACACACACACACACACACACACACACACACACACACGCACACACATACGTACAAACACACGCTCTCAGTGGGGTAGACCCTGTGAGAGGGGCAGGCAGTGTAAGATAAACTGATCACACAGCAGTACAATATGCTGAAAGTGATTATGCGCGTGACTGTGTGTGTGTAAGTTTATGTTTGTGAGAGATAGTGAGAGAAAGAGAGAGTTGATGATGTGCAACAGCTGTCAGGAAGCAGATATTAACTCACACTGGAGTCAACGGTGGAGAGAATGAGGATTTTCCATAGAGAATCATCTGGGACAGTAATGGATGCACAGTTCCAAAGTGTGTGTTTTCATGCCTGTATGTATGATAAAAGTAAAATTTTCTGCTTTTAAATGTCACAGAAAACCTGAAAAATCAGCCCCAGAGTTTTGAGAACATGAAGAAAATGTAGTTCCAGAATGATAATATGCAGAAAGATATGCTCCAAATTGAAACCGCAGTGGTATTTCCCATAAGGCACAGCTACATCTGATACCAAGTGACTTCACCACTGGTGAATGTAAAGAACTCCTACTTGGGCATTATTGCTGTATTGAATGCACACTGCTCCTAAATAGTTTCAGACATATCTTGTGTTGTTGTTAGTGCATTTGTTTTAAGATTACCTATAGGAAATTCCAGTTTTATTTAAGATATACTAAAAATAATAAATTTCATTTATATAGTACTTCACCTAACAAATATTACAAGAGGCTCGACATAAAACAGAAACAAATTTGTCCTAGGAATAAAAGTAAAAAACCATAGTATCAATAAAAATAAGTCATAACATAAAATTCTACAAATAATGAATATATTACCAAACAATAAGAATCAGGTATAAAAATGTATTTACTGTGAAGTTAATTGATTTCTCTTTTACCTGGTCACATGACTAGCAATCAGGCTCCTGTCACTTGACAGGTGAGTAAGGGTGCTTGGCCATGACATACCTTAAAAATAGTTACTATTAGCTGTTGTATATGATTACTTTTTTCGTGACAAGTAGGGTTAGTAATTATAACTTGCATTACAGTTACTAATTCCATTAACGTTTGTTTCTTGTCTTGTTGGATGGGAAGGAAAGGAAAGGGAGACAGACTGTTTGGTTCATGATGGTTAGCTTGGTGCACAGACTGGAGGCGGGTCGTGTCAGCTAACGCTAGCCTCTGCCAACGAGAGGAAGACTACCCCCCTCCGGTAATGCTAAATCTGTTGTGTTTAAGGCGCTATGTAGTAATAGCCGACTAGCCAATTGTTTAGTTTGTTGTGTCACTTTTTTTGCTGCACTTCTGAAGTGGTGCGTGTGTTCCCGGGGCTAAACTAGTTGCTAATAGCTGAGTGCTAAATACAATGCTAGGTTAGCTTGTCATTACTCAACCTGTCAGCGGTGGACTGGAGCTAGCTAAATATATATAAAAATACTATATACTAAACTTCAGTGCAATCTTGAGGTTCTTGTATCTTTCTTATGTATTTTCATAATGTGCCACTTTACACTACTAAATTAGCTGCTTCACTACAATTAACAGATAAATATTATACCCCACTCATATTGTTTGACAGCTATTGGTTCATTTTGTGATCAAAGATTTCATCCAAAACACCTAAAGATATTATAATGTGCTACATTATTTGAATATCATACATTATAGATTAAATTAGTGTCTAAATACTGCATGAATGCATCAGTAATTAATATATAACAATAAAACACTGACAGGATCCATTTTACTTCATCAAAGGCCTGTTTTTACACAGTATACTTGATGAAATATTAAAGTATTAAAGCACAGGTGTCATGGTCTCAGCCTGGAGGCTCCAGGGTTTTGGTTTTTTGGACTTTCTTGTTTTAGTTTTCTGTGTTTTTGGTATTTCTAGTGTCTAGTTTAGTCTTCCCTGTCTTGTGCTGTTTCCCCGTGCACTTCCTGTTTTATTTTGTAATCTGTTTCCTTGTGTGTCTCAGTGTTTTGCTTCCTGTCTTGGTCCTGTTTTCTGTGTGGCGATTGTCGGCCCCGCCCTAATGTGTTTCACCTGTGTTCGATCACCCTTGCCTCCCTTGTCTATATAGTCTTTGTGCTCCCCTTTGTCTGTGTCGGTTCGTCTGTTTAGTTCTGGGGTTGTTCACGTCCTCGCTTCATGTTAATTATTTTGGTAAATAAACCTGTCTGCACCATCTCCTGTGTGTTAGCTGCAATTGGGTCCACCCCTACCTACCACCAAACCGTGACAACAGGTATAAATAAAAAACTTAATCAGCTGCTTTGGTTTCAGGGTGCTGGTATTGTGCATGCTGGCTCCCTGTCACATTTTCATGGCATATGTTGGTAGTATCATGTGTGCCTTTCCTACAATAATAACTCAAAGAAGTATAAGAAGAAGACTCAAAGAAGTAATTAAAGTAAATTATTAATTTTTGAAGGTAACTTGCCAGACAATTGAAAATGAGAATTATCAGCACCTTTGGATATTTTCTTTCTCCTCCCCAACCAAATTGTGTGGCTGAAGCAACAGCATCTGTTGATTAATATATTTTAGTAAGTACTGAGCGAATGAAAGAGAGGAGAGGTCAGAGGTCAGTTGTGCTATGTAACACAGACATTGTGAGCCACTTAGTTGCTGAGTGTTTAGTTTATGACTTTAGGAATGATAATTGTCACAGTATGAGGACCAGGTGTGTGTGTGTGTGTGTGTGTGTGTGCGCGCGCGCGCGCGTGCGTGCGCGTGTGTGTGTGAAATACAGGATCTGATGTAATTTTCTCCCAGGCCATCTTGCAGTGTGAATGCATATGTAAGAATTTACAGCTCTGCAGTGAGAGGAATGGGATTTCAGCGGATATTATAACCGCCCTGTAATCGTGCTAAGCATACAGGATAAGTCTATCTCTCTCAGCCTCTTCTCTCTAACCCCTGATCATCTCTTTCTCACCCTTTCCTCTCTCTTTGTTTCCTTATCTCTGTTGTAACAGCACAGGTTGGATTAACCTGACAGGGGTTCTTGAAGTTTTTATTCTTTTTTTCCCTAAAGTAGCTTTGCACTTTATGGGATTTTTGAACTTGACATTTGGTATTACCTTTGATCAAACGTGATTTCATTTGAAATCAGCATATTGATATGTTACTCAAAGCACTGATACAATTATTGTATGCACATAATTGTCACTGCCAAGATGGAAGTTTCTGTTTCCACTGGGGGCTACCTGTGCTGAAAAATGTATTGACTCAGGGCACTGTAACATGCACACTTAATGTGTATGTTACAGTATACATTTACACATTTACAGAGTTTGTAGTTTTATACATCATATAAACAGGAACAAATGATTCTGTTCTCAAACACCTCAAACAAAGTGGTAAAACTTGAAGATTTTTGATTTATTTTGCTATTTCCTCAAAAACAAAATCTCTTCTGTCAGTTTTGTTGAAATGTTTTGATTTGTCTGTAGTTTCCCTGAAGCAATGCTGCTGTTCTCCTTTGTCAGAGAAACTTTAAATTTCATGTGTGCTTGCATGATTATATTTTATATTACTAACAATTGTCGACACAAAGTACCACAAATATACATTGATTCGTTGTCTTAAACCAGGAAATGGGAGGCTATGTCATTTCACAGTAGTATGTAATCTGGTGCAGGGTGAGAGCATTTGTGGAATCCTTGTTCAGATGTCAGAGGGAAAGAGAGGCTGAGGGGATATTATAAGTGTCTTTAATCTGGCTAAGCATACAGTATGGATAATCCGCTCTCTCTCTTACTTTTTCTCACTCTCACACTTATTTCTACAATTTGTCTGGATGACACAACTATGTAATCTCACTGAGATTATTGTAATTCTGTCTCTCATTTCTTTCTCACATTCTTCTTGTGTTATATTCCACATGTATTTGGTGTGTACAATCTTTTCTTAGACACACACTGCATTTTCACTCCCCTGTGATTATAACATACTACTACTCTGCTAGTAATGATTTCATTTGTCAAACATTTTTTTTGAGATTTCTAAACTTTTGACTGAATGCCTGAATATTTGCCTTTGGTTTATGAAAAACTGAGTATTTTTTGAAGTGGTGAAAGTTGCAAACAAGGGAAATTAAGCATTTAAAATGCTTGTCCTAATGCTTTGGAATCTGGACAAATGACTGATCACAACATGTAAAATCTTTTTGTTTGTTTGTAAAATCTATACTGTGAAGAAGAAAAACAGGAAGTGTGGGACAAAGGGAACAAATAATTTCTGTTTAAGATTTATTGTAAAGCTGTGGTTCAAAAAATTGGCAATGATAAGGTATTTTTTTTTTTTTAATTTTTATAAATCAGCCTTTTTTTTAATTTATAGCACAGAGAATATTCACTACACCAGCCAGTAGTTGCTGGTCTGATGAGTGTTGACACAAAGTGAACGGACACAATATGATGAGGAACTAAACAGCATACAGTTCTGTTGTATTTGCTTGACAGATGGGAGTATATTAGTCATCTGTCTATTCTACCGAGAAAGTCTTCAGTGTATACAGGGCTCACTAACTGATGTGTCAACAATTCAAACACTGTTGAAACCTCTAAAGTCAACCACTACCACACTGTAGAAAACTTAAACACTGCAACAACTTCAGGGACCCGTGTGTGATGTATTAAATCAACAAGTGATTAAAGAGCTGATTTTTTTGATTGTATTGTGAACTTTTTTTCTCCTTTCTCTCTTTCTTATCTCTCCACCCCAGGCTCCGACTATTCTCCCCCTCCGCCCCTGCCTCGGCCTCCTCCCACCGGCCTGACAAACGAGCACAGTGGTGGTGGTAGCCATGGTGACCATGGTGGAGGAGGGGGCGGGGTCAACCACGGGGTCGGCGTGGTGGGCCTGGCTCCGGAGCACATCCCCACACCGGGGGCGGCCCTGAGCTGGCAGGCGGCCATCGACGCTGCGCGGCAGGCAAAGATGATGGGCAACGCCGCAGCAGGTGGAGGGGCAGGGCTTGGGTCGGGAGGGGGCGGGCCCATCTCCACGGCCAGCTCCACGCAAAGGAAAAGACAACACTATAGCTCTAAGCCCAAGAAACAGACAACGACGACAGCCACAAGGCCGCCACGGGCCCTACTCTGTCTCACGCTCAAGAACCCCATCCGCAGGGCCTGCATCAGCATCGTAGAGTGGAAGTATCCTTTAAATAACCACGATTGGAGGGTTTGTTTGTATACTGTTTGCAAGGAGGAATAACATGCAACATGTTTTACTTTCAAGACCTTGTCATGTTTTCAAAGGTTGACAGAATCTGTCTTCTTGAGCTCCTAGTTTTCTGAGCTACAGTACTTGTTTTTTTCTGAGTTGCCTTCATATAGAATTTACAAGATGGGGACATCCAACCCAGGCAAGAGGAAGTCAGTTCTTCCTAAAATAAATCTACCTTGATGCAACTGAGAGTGAACAGTCAATCTAGGAAGAATAACAGAAAATGCTTTGGCGCAGGTGCTAACTTAAGGTTTGCCATTTTTTCACTTTCAGAGAGCAGTACAATATTTTCCCTCCTAAAAATAATATTTCACTTGATGTAAAGTATGTATAAAAATGTATAAACGGTAATACTTTATGTGTGGGAAACATTGCATCCATTTAGAACTATGAACATAAAAGTGAGAATGAATCTATATGAAGTGTGATGAGAATGGATGAATGGATGGTGGATGGACAGATGCAGGTAGAAAAAAAATCATGGCAAGATGGAAGGAGGCTACAGGGGATGGAGGATGTAAACAGTTAGAACATGCATAACGCTTCCTCTTCTGTTTAACATCCATCTTTCCTGTCTTCTATTCCTCCTTCTCTTTCTTTTTTTAATCAGTCTCACTTGGTACAATTCTTTGCTCTCCAGTCACTTGTTTTAATCCTTTCTCCCTTTCCTCTCTCTGTCCTTTTTTCTGTTTTCTCACAGGAGGATGAAACAAATTGTGTCATTTTCATCCCTCCTTCACACCTCTCCCCAGCATATCTCTCTCCCCCAGCTCTTTCCAACTGCATTCATCCTCTCTCCCCCAGGTCCATCCATGCCTCTATCACTCCTTTGCTCCCTCCATGCTCCACCTTAGAGTCTCTCCCACCATTTATTATCCTTCTCTCCCTCCCTCTGTCCATCCAAATCCCTTTATTCCTGCTGTTCCTCAACCCGTCCTTTCCCTTCCTTTCCCGGAGTTTTTTTTTTGTTTTCTTTTTTTTAAGCTGCCGAACATAATGACTTCGTTTTCCCTCAGGGTGAGATAGAGGGAGAAAGGGAGAGAGACAGAAATGGTCAGTGTCACAGTCAAAGTGATCTATAATAGGAGAGGGTCCACATGAGCTCAGCAAGAGCACAGTCACACACCGTCCTGAGAGAGAGAGAAGGAGAGGAAGAGGAGGGGTCAGGGAAATGAGAAGGGCAGGGATGTGGGCAGGACATGGATGTTGACAGGAGAGATGATGAAGCAGAGTAGCTAAGGAGGGCGGGAGGGAGTGAGCGAGGGACTGATGGAGGATGGGAAAGGTAAACAAAAAAATGACAGAGAAAGGGGAGGGCAAATATTGAGTAAGGGAGGGAGGAGGGTGGAGTGGATTTGGCGATCATGAGGGAGGAGAGGAGAGAAAGCACTTGTGTATGTGTGTGTTTGGGTTGCATTAGTGAATTATGAAATTACATAAGCTCCAGGATTGGTTTTCAACTGCATATGTAACAATTTCAATATGAAAATGTGTTTTAATTAAGCCTAAAAACTGACTTCTAATTGTGCTTTTATGCAGTTACATTATACACGCCACATTTCTAACTATTAACAAGATAGATTGGAAATATTTTTCTACTGGATTTGCACTCTTTGTTTCTGCAGCTGCCATATTTTCAGAGCAGTGGAAATAATTATCTATGAAAAGCAAGTTTTTTTTTTTTTTTTAATTATCCAGTGATAATTGATGAATTAATTCGTGGTGATGTTCTAATGAACCTGAATATTTATCAATGAACTGCAAAATAACTGGTCCTATTCAGTCCTGCATTTGTTTGTATGATTTTGCTTAGTTAAATGTGAAAATCCAGACCATTCTCATATGACATAGTTCATATTATATCACTCAAACAATAGACATGCTTCAAATTTCCCATGGGACCAGCCCAGGCTTTTTAAGTGTGTGTAATCTGCCTCTGATTGTAATGGATACAGACAGTCTTTTTGCTGGTCAAATTGTGTTTTTATAATTATCAATAGTCAAAGTATCAGTAGCCCTCCTCAGACTACACTGTCCAGCTGTGCTAATGCTGAAAAAGACAAGAAAAGTAATGAAAAAATGCATGCATAAACTCTGAGGGTCATTGGAACAATCTCACCCACTGACTGATGAGCGTTCAGATCATTACCCACAATTCCCAGCATCATTCATTTAAACAGCTCCTAAGGGTGGGATGGAAGAGACAGAGAGAGAGAGAGAGACACAGAGAGAGAGAGATAGTGACAGAGAAAGAGGTGCAGGAATGAGATGAGTGTAGGGAAGAAGAGGGACATTAAAGTGGGCTCTTAGGGAAAATGAGAGATAAGAAAAAGGTAAACAGGTTGGAATCTGATTATTTGGAATAAAAATGGAAGGAGCAGAGCAGCAGCAAAATTACCTCCTCCACTAGTTTAGAAAAATCCCCATCAAACTGTCAATCAGTCTGCCTGCTTGCCTATCTAACCGTTCTACTTTGGGATGTCCTTCATAACTGCAGTGTGGGCCTGTTTAAATGCAGCATGTTTAAACGTCTGTGGGTGACTTTGTACACTCTGTGCGTTTGTTCTGTGTATGTGTAGTTTTGCATCTGTGTGTTGCTTGTATTCTACAGGCTTCAAGTGTGTGTGTGTGTGTGTGTGTGTGTGTGTGTGTGTGTGTGTGTGTGTGTGTGTGTGTGTGTGTGTCCTGTATTCTGTGAGTACCTCTGTCTCTAGAGATAGCAGATCCGAAATCTTCCTCTCCTCCTCCTCTGTTACCATGACAACAGCTACTGCTCTCAACAGGTCGATGGGGCCTGTCTGAGCTCACACATACACATAAAACGCACACTTAGATTAGAGAACACACATACTTAAAGATGATAAAGGACTGAAACACACACACACACACACAAACACACAGACACAGCACTCTCACATGCTGTGTAATTACAGCATTCAAGCATTACCTGCACACTAGCAAGGTCAGCTTGAGAGACAAGGAGAGAGCAGGGGTACGTCTAACTACCATGTTCTCTATATGAAATCACACTAAGTGGTAGTTTTAAAAGGTGTCATTGAGTGCATTTACACAAACACATACACACACGGATTCCTGGCTCACAGTTTATACTGTACGTTGCATCAGGTGACATGAGGGGTTGCACTGTTTGTGTGCATTTCCGACTCAATCAGAAAAGCAGATAAATATTCTCGGCATAACACAGCAGAGTTTTGGGCTTGCTCTCCCAGATAATATCACTATATCCCAGGTTTCTTACTTGGCTTTGACCAGATAAGAGATTATCTGTGTTATTGTGAGCTGCATGAGCCAAATGCTGAATGCAGAGAATCCCAGAAAACAGCATCCCGGTGTGTATGTGGATGCAGTCCTGGTGTGACAATTTGTCATAAGCGTATACAGTTAGCTTTGTTGAAATGCTGAATGTATATATCAAATTCCAAACTGTCGCAGACAGTTTTAACCTGCTGAATACTGCGTCTCAAGAGCTGTGAAACCTCCTGAGTTAACTGTACTGATTTTATTTTTTTATAGCTGTCACAGTCGGTGCCAATAATTAACTTCCTTATAACAAGTTAGTTATCCTAACAATAAGTATTTCTTTGCTCCTGTGCTGTTAAAGATGTATATTTGCTCCTGTTATGTTGACTAATAGACATTATTAATGGGTTCGGTATTCGGTTTGATTCTTTATTCAGACCTCCCAATTTTTCTCCATGTGTTGTTTTGCTCTCAACAGCACAGCAGACAGTAGATTTATTATCATGATGATGGAAGCAGACCTCAAGGGTTTCTTAAATTACGGGTCAGGAACCCAGAATGAGCCACAGGCCTGTTTTTCTGTGGGTGCCCACATGTCTGGAGAGCGTTTTAATGAGCCCCCAGTACAAGGGTGAGTGATTAACTTTGATGCAAGTCCCAAGCTGAATGAGCTGAATGATCTTGTGGCTGATGACGTTCAAGGGTCAATCCTTAATCCAAACATAAACAAAGTATTAGCCCCACCGTAAAAAGCTACAGAATTTTTTTCTCCCTCTTGTCTTCCTCTGTCTGCACTGCTGTTCCTGAAACAGTAGTTAAAGCTTTGAAATTGGGAGTAGGTTAGTTTTCTGGCAGGGCCACACACAGCAACATTGCTAGTGTGATTATAGGTAGCACAAAATTGTTAAAAGTGTCAAGTTCACTTCTTATTTGAACTTGTTCATCTATTTGTCAGAAAAGTTTCCTCACTCTTGGTTCAAGGGTTTTGGCGGCTCAGGGATTTCGAAATCAGAATATTTCTGAGTTTCTATCTATAAATGTTATGATGATGAGCATATGAGTTTGAGACTCAGAGGCTGGTTGGAATTTCGTCTTGTTGTCCTTTAGTAGGCATAAACACATTCTTGAATTCCAATAGGTGATTAATTAGACATTTTTTTGTCAGTGCTGACAAGGTACAGTTAGTGCAGATTATTCTCCATTGCAAAGCACTGAATATATTTTGATGTTAACGTTGTAGGCAGCCAGTAGTTCTTATTCTCTTCATTCCAGTTTGAAACTCTACCTGCAGTCAGCTCTGAGTTACTATAGATATGTATAGTAATCCATCACTAAGAAAGCTATGTCATGGATATATGGTAATGCAGTTGAACATATAGATAGATTTTTGATTTTTGCATTTTTTCCTTTTTCTTCCAATTAGATTATTTTCTCAAGTACTGCTGCGAACTCATCTGTTGGCCTTTTCATTTTTAGACTGTACACCACCAATGGTGTGGCTTGCTGCTATTTTCCCACTGTTAGATGTTTTAGAAGTTATAGCAAATATAGATCCAGTGTCCTCTGCACATGTACCCCATCCAACCATTAAAAGTTGTTAGAGTGTAGCTACAAGGGCGTGATCCCTCATTGGCTTCCCACCTGTGGAAACTGACACCGACAGAACGTCCAGGAAGGTCACATTCAGTGCGGCAAATGATTAAACGTTGTTCTCAAGCTTGAAAAGCCTGAACATGAACGTCAGCCAGAAATGTACAAATTTGCGTATTGTTTGTCTTCTGGATTTGAGTTTCTGACAGCACAACTCATCAGTACATTGCTGTTTATGTTATACTGCAAGGCCTGGAGTCTAGACTAATTTGACATGCAGCCAAGATGGAAGGAACTGAAATAAGGACTAAAGGAAGGAAGGAAGGAAAGAATGGAAGAAGTGAGTAGAGGGAGAGCAAAAGGAGATGGAGGGAGGTGACAGCAGTGGCAGTTACTAATTGTGTTGATGAAAACCAGACCTCCTCTATCTCTCCTTCACATTCTCTATCCTCTATGCTCCCTCTCTCACTCTCACTCGCCATTCTCTCTCACTTTGTATCTCTCCCTCTCTCTCTCTCTCTGAGGCCAAAAATAATGAGGTCACTCCCCTCTCAAGGACCGTTCCAAATAAAAACCCTCTGTGTCTCTCCTCTCTCTCATTCCATCTCTCTCTCACTCTTTTTCTGTCCACATCCTGTCTTCCACGCGACAGGCCTGCTCCTCACTGCACCCATATTAGGGCATGCACTGTCTCTCTCCAACCCTCCCCCCTGCAAACACAAAGAGGTTCCTAAGTGAGCCAATATGTCTTATTGTTAACGAAAAGGCAAACTCAACAGCTTTGATCTCTCTCATTGTGTACACGGGTTGTGCGCTCTGCTATGTGTGTATATATACCTCTGCTTATGTAAGGATGTATTAGCTTGTTTAAAAATACCTCTTTGTTAAAATAACACGCCTGATACAAAGACTTTTTTTCTGTTCAGTAAGGTCAGAGGCCAGAGTCTGTATTATTTTGTGCTGTGTACCAGAAGTTTTCGTGAAGGACCATTGCAAATCTACCTGAACCTGAGATGTAGAGATTCATATTTTGAAACAGGACCATTATCCAAAGGAGACCTGAAGAGTAGCAGTTCACAATCTCCACCTAGCCGGAAAAATCTCCTGCAGTGATTGATGATGATGCACCACAATCAGAGCTATAAGTCCAGTAAATCCACTCTGGCATTAGATGTATTGTCACACCATCCCAAGACCAGCAACAAGAAAATGGGACCCACTAGACATCCTCGGTCAAATGTCACTTAATAAGAACAAAGCAGACCTGGGGTGATCTCTACTCTGTAAATGTCTCTTTAGACTTTACTCTGTTCTGGTTTGTATATTCCTTTACCGTCCTCTCAGACCATTTGAGATCATCATCCTGATGACCATATTCGCCAACTGTGTGGCCTTAGCCGTCTACATCCCCTTCCCCGAGGATGACTCAAACGCCACCAACTCCAACCTGGTGAGTAATACCAGTGTTTTTGACTGCTTTAGTTGAATATGTTTGCTTGTTGTTTGGCTGAGTAGTTGCTGGTTTAAGTAACTTCTTGGCTCAGTGGCAATTTTTTTTTCCAATCCTGGAAGATAGGGTGTCTTGGTTTTTGTTGCTGTGGTCTGACACTTGATATTCCTTATCTTGACTCACATGTTAGGTGTGCCGGTAATTATTCAATATAATTATTTAACATTTCATCAGCAGATTTTTCTGGTAATTAAATATTTCTAAGCAGCATATCATTTGCACATTTCCAGCTGATTCCACATGTGTGTGTGATTTGCTGCCATGAATCTAACAGGCAGTAGGATATACTGTCGCTGTGACTGGTTCATGAAGGTGAAAGACAAGAAGGGTGGAGTCACAAGAGTGAAAGGCAAAAACAGTGGAAGAATGCCTGTCTTTGAATAATACCCTCTTTGTGAATCATTTGCTCTTACATGTGATTGTTTGGACACAACAGTGTCACAGTCTGTGAGTATGACGTTCCACTTTAGACCCTGAAGACAATGGAGGGTTTCATTTATTCTGACTGAGGACTCTTGAGTTGTAATAGAGCCATGTGAGTTAACTTATTTAGGATCATTTTTTTTTATGTGTCTTTGCTAGTGTAGTTAACAGAAGGGACAGATAGGAAACATGAGGAGAGAGAGAAGGGGTTGAAGGGGCCAGATTCGAACCATGGACGTTGTGGTTATATTCTGTAACCATTCTGCCACCAGAGTGCGTGCAGAGTGCATGTGAGTTTATTTGATCAAAGGTCCAGCGTCATTCTCTTGTGGTCAGAGGAATATTTTTGGCTAAGGAGAAAATAGCTGTTATGATTGAGAAATTGTAAGCCCTTCTGGTGGACTGTTATGGCTTGTTTTGATTGCGTAAAGACATTGATTTTGTGGTTGCCAAAATGTCATTCAGTCTAATATATTAAATGTACCATAATTTAATATATTTCAAAGTAAAACAAAAACATCTCGCAAAACAAAGACATCTGTTGTGTTAAAACTCAGTTTTTCTGACTGCTTGTTGCCAAACTTCTTATCTAATTACCTAAGTCTGGCTGCTCACCAGGATGTGAGTCTGTGTGTTTATATAAATCAATATGATTACGTGTATCTATACAATTCAAGTGTGTGTGTGTGTGTGTGTGTGTGTGTGTGTGTGTGTGTGTGTGTGTGTGTGTGTGTGTGTGTGTGTGTGTGTATGTATGATTTTGCAGATGTATGCCAGTGTATTAGTGTGAGGAGGACACTAATCCCTCCGAGGCCATGTAACATCTGTTTCTTTCTTTCTAAGAATACTTTACTAATTCTTGAGAGCTCATTCTCTACTATGGTTTTCATATTGCATGTGTATTTTTCTTACCTTCATAAAGTTACTTTGGACTTACTGTACATCTGTGAGTGGAGAAATAACATTTGTTTTCATTTGTTTTAATGTGAATCTGCCCTCTGATTTTCCCTTCAATGATACAGTGTCAGAGCAGGTGTATGAGTCAGTGGAAGAGTAAACAGGACAAAGGGAGGACAGCTGTTTGCATCTTCTCAATCTGTGCCCATCACTCACTCTCTCGCTCCCTCTTTTTTCTCATCTCTCTAAGAAATTCTGTAGGCGGCATACATACATCACTTACATTACTTTTTACTGGTACCATAGAAAATGTAAGGCTTTACAGATCCAGTCTGAGTGATTACATTGCAGTTCATGTATTCTTCAATTTCTTTAAGCTCTCTATAAGTTTGATGTCTTTTCCACTTATGTTACCCATCCTTTAAATCATGTCAGAAATACCAAAATTACCAGCAAGAACCTGCAAACAGTAGATTTCACACAGTCAGAACTGAAAATACAGCTTTGACTTCCAAGTAGTCCCAATTGAAAGCACAGAAACAAATATAATGAATATTTTGTTTAAATAATTACTCTTCTCATGTAATATTAGTAAGGTGAATCATTGCATTAAACATACTTAGTGTGTAGTTTACAGTCTAGATTGGATAATAGCAACAAGTCTTACTGTCTCTCATTGTCTGTCAACACCATGTGGAGAATTTTAATGCCACTCTTTTTGCTCTTTTGAAACAGTATACAGCACAAGGCATTTGCATGCAGACACACACACACTTGCATGAAATATTTGGCCTCCTAATGGCCTCCTCCTCCTTCTATTTTTGCAGGATTATTTTGGACCCTACTGGTGACCCCCCTAGTTAATGAAAAGATACAAGACACACATGCACTCACACACAAACCTACTCACAACCACCACAGCTGTGGTCAATTAGTTTTATAACCTTCTGACAGACAGGAAGCAGTGTACAGATGCACCAGAGGCTTAAATATACGGTTTAACCATGTATCTGTGTGTGTGTGTGTGTGTGTGTGTGTGTGTGTGTGTGTGTGTGTGTGTGTGTGTGTGTGTGAGAGAGAGAGAGAGAGAGAGAACAAGTTTATTTGTACAATTCTTGTGTATGTGTGTGGTATTAACAACCATACAGAAAGACAAAAAGAGGAAGGGGAAATGCTGCCCAATTGTCAAACTGATCAATGCGACTGAGGCATCAGACTCTGATCTGGTTTGGATCAGACACAGTGTTTGCCAAATGTGTGATCCCACAAAAAACAGGGTCTACTCCCACATTATTAATGACATCGTGCAAAAAAAAAAGGCATGCATACATGCGTTGTATGATTAAATATTGCCAGTGCGCCATGTAGGCCAGAAATATGAATGTATTTATGTATTTTATGATAAATGTACCATACCTCCATACCTGGAGCAGTTCTTAACTGGGTTACATCCCACTCCAACATTTAGTTTCAACTCAAAGTATTTTTGCAGCTTTATAAGTTCTTGATTAATGTACACATACAGTATATTTCTCAAAACTGTCTTGTAACCCCACCAAAATGAAAACATCACATTTAACATTACCAGAAGTGCGTCTTTGTTTTGTTTGAATTGTTTCTGCAATGTGCGTTCACTTTGACAACTGACCTTATTCAGGGATTTGATTGTGTTTGCAAAGCAGTAATTAAACCCAAGACTGTCAGAATCCATATTACTTCCCCTTGTGTTCCCGGGGTGTCTATTTTGATTCTCATTATATTCACATTTTAGTCATTTAGATGATGAATTTATCCAGAGCTTTATGTAGTGACTGTTTTGCTTAAGGACACTAACAGTCTTGATGGAGATTTGGGAAGAATGAACCTGTCACCTTACTGTTAAAAGTAGGAAACTGAACATTACACTTACACTTATATTAAGTATTATTATTATATTATTATTATGTGAAGTTATTTCTTCCAGTGTCATTGTTGCATTGTTGGTGCTACAAACTGTGTGTTTGAGCCACAGGAGGTCAAACCTCTTTTCATCCTCTTTCATTCTCTCTTTACATTTTGACAAAAGTGTTATTTCACACTTTTGTGTTATCCTCACCCCTTGTTGAGTATTGTTGTCATTTGTTTTCTCTTTGTCATTTGGGGTGACACATTCTGCTTAGCCCGCTTGTGGTTTTGTTATATCATCCACGCAGTTTTTATTTTGTTGTTTTTAACATTTGCAAATAAACCACAGGCTTATACAAAGATTTTAGGCTCAAAACAGCTGCATCACAACTGTAGTTCAGTATCTTGATGATGCTCTTGTGATTTACCCCTGACCCTTTGTGTAATAGAGCATTGAGTGTTAGAATCAATATGGCACCCCTTGGCCCGATTTGCACAAGTCTTTCTTATGTAATACCAGAGATCTGTTGTATTGCTTCCAGTACGAGATTGCTATTTCTGTCGGCATCCCATAGTGTGCTGCTCTGTCTCCTTGACGACATGCCCAATAATAGCAGCGGGAGAGGTTGTCATGGATATGGTAACCGTAGTGATGCTCCTCATCTGTCCTTGGCTACAGAGGAAAGAAGAGTCGGAACCAAAGTCTGAGAAAGTCTCTTCTCTCAGGGAGGAAATATATGCTGCACTCTGGCTCGTTCAGTTTCAGCAACATTTTGAGATGAAAACTAGAATGTGAAGCTTGAGTGAGAAACTTTTCTTGGCTCCCTTTGGTTCTTCTATCCCCCCTTTTTTTTCTTTTCTAGTCTGTTTCTCTCTCTCCCCCTTCATCCCTTTTTTTTCTCCTTAATCACTTTCTCCCTCTTGATCTCGCTTCGTTCCTCCATCTAATCAGATCAATATGGATACTTTCAGATTGACAGAATAATGTTGCCATAACCAAGCAATTAGCTAATCAATACACCTGATTAGACACTGATTGATGGAGAGGCATGGACACACACACCCTTACACACAAACACACACTTTAGACACCAAATTCCCGAAGCAATAATGAAGCTTAATAGGATTCATTTTGACTGAGGTCTGAGATGATGTGTGTGTGTGTGTGTGTGTGTGTGTGTGTGTGTGTGTGTGTGTGTGTGTGTGTGTGTGTGTGTGTGTGTGTGATACTGTGTGTGCGCATTCAGGTCTAGTTGGTTTATTTGATTTATATATCATGTGCTTACTGTAAATTTGTAGAGTATCAGCCATATTTGCATGTCATTGATCATTTTGTGTTTATGTGAGTTCATGGCTGTTCTCGCTGTGTGATGAGGTGTATGTGTGTGTCAGCGGTGGGTGACAGGGTGTGCAGTGTTAGATGAATTAGCTGCTGGCTCTGCAGTAGGCGTTTCAAATGAGCACCTTTAAGTCAGTGAATCACCTCTTGGAGGGTAATGGACCTCACAGCAACACACACACCTACTCGCTCTCTGTGTATTATTGTTATTTTTCTGCCTTTTTTGTACACACAACAGCATTTGGTCATTTGTTCAGATGTTTCAAACAACTTGTGTTTGTGTTTCCTGACAGGCGACGTCTTGTGTCAGTGTGAATTTGACTATATACCAGTAGTAAACCTCAGGGTGGAGTGTTGGGGGGGTACAATGCAGTGTTTTCCACATAGGTGATTGCAG